CTGGCTCTAAGAGACCTGTTTTCGAAAAAGCTGTTCTCTGTTGCTACCGAAAGAATATCTGTTTGCTAATGAGGCTGCTGCAAGCTGAGGGCCCCGTCCCCCCCTTGCACATCCAAAGCCACAGATCCTTACTGCAAAACATTTTTTATTGGTCAGATCATTTTCTAGATGTGCAAAAATTTTCCAAAAATAATTTGAAGCAGCTTGTACACTTTTGCTCACAGCAAGAAGTTCGACTAAGTGACAAGCTCCCAGGGTGCTGCCCTGCAAGCAAAAAACAGTCCCGGAGCTGCTCCCTACACATCTTATGGATGTGTGATGAATCTGCAATATGGGTGGGAATCTGGGTGTTGGGTTCGCTGGGCTCAGCTCCCCAGACACCTGCAGGGTTCACTATAGCCTTGAGTCCAAGTTCCTGGCCAGCATTTCCAGCTTTCTTGTGGAGCTCACTGGGAAGTTGGAGGGCAGGGCCAGAACAGTTTCCCTGTGCCTAGATTTTCTTTCACTTAAGCTGTGGCTCCTTCATCCACTTACAGAGCTGCCATTGACTAGGTTTCTGCCTGCTTGTAGATTCACTTCCCCTCGTCGTGCCTCCCACACAGTAATAGACAGCCGTGTCTTCAGCTTTCAGGTTGTGCATTTGCAGATACAGCCAATTGTGGGCATCATCCCTGGAGGGGGTGAATTGCCCCTTCACTTTGTCGGAGGTGTAAATGTTGGAAGAGTATATGTGTGTCAACCATTCCAGTCCCTTCCCAGGGGCTTGTCTCACCCACCCCATCTTGTGGCTACTGAAGGTTAATCCAGAGTTGGCAAGTGAGAAGGAGGGACTCGCCAGGCCTTTTCACATCTACTCTGAACTCCACCACTTGGACCTCTGACTGAACACCTGGAACAGAAGACAGTGTAAGAAGACCTGGTTCATGTGAAGTCTTGAAAAATGCTGTTCCTTACTACTGGAAAGCAGAACTGGTACCTCCAAAGACTGCCAAGGACAGCACACACTGAAGCCAAACTCTCATCTTCCCTCCCCCTGC